ATCTGTCGAGAGCTCAAACATCCTCCCGTTGGTGTGGTATGGTAGGAGAGTGGGGTGCCAGCTCAGATGTCGTCCTCGTCAGTTGACCATGGTCCAAAATTACGGTTTCCGTCGCCAAAAGCCCTCGTGTAGTTGAATAGTGCGACGTTAATATTCACTCACTCACTCAATTATATAAGAAGAAATTCTACATCATGATTTTTTCTAACCTTCCCCTTCCCGTCCTTTTTATTAAAAAAAAATTTACTCCATTTATAATCCAACATTGGCTATTGTATATTTATTTCCAAAGTTAATATAATTTATGATATACATATATGGTTGCGAAATTATATTTCTTACTACTATGGATATTGGGGAATTCCAGTTCGTAAGTAAATCTGAAGGGGAAAAAATGCTAAGCATTTTTTGAAAATTATTACACCTAATTTCCATACAATTGACAATACATTAATCTTGACGAAGAAAAAAAGTAAAGACTCCACGAAAAGATCTGAATTTTTTAGATTCTAAGCAAAAATTTCTTAATTTCAGGTAGAACGAAAATAAATCTCATGCCTATTCGCTTTAATTTACTATAAAAAAATTTGTTCTAAATAAAATCGTATGGAGAGTTAATTAACATTTTTATTTATATCAGATAAAATATTGAAAATCAACTTCTATTAAATATTTTTAAAACTGCTTTTATTAATTTGTTGAATAACTATCTTGTTAATTGTGAAGCCCATTGAAATAGTGGTATTTGTATATTGTTCAGTAATTGAATGTAAAAAAATTACCTGTGCAAAAATAATATGACATTTGCTAAATTATGAAAACGTCATTTGTGAAGTCTGTCCTTTGTACATATTTTTAAACACTTTACATTTTAGAGGTTTTAGAAAGATGTTAAGAGAGAAAAATAGCACATAATTCAAATTAATTATTTTTTGCTTCACATTATATGATATCGTCGGCCTAATTATCAGACTGTGTAACTCCACCGGTGTTACTGATTTGATATAGGAGTGCAACGCGCAAAGCACTTTTTGGCGCGATTCCTTAATCCTTTTGTTTTGTCTACGCCATGCCTCAGTGCGCACTCCGCTCTTTTAATTTATTCCTCGATCAGTGTAATCACTACTTTTTTTTTAATTTCATAATAAAACTAGATTTCGAAGGGAGAGGTGGTGACAAGATTTTAACATAAAATAAATACAACAGAAAGTAATATTAATGTATTACCCTTACAGATATAAATTATTTACACTATTTTAAGCGTTCATTACACAAAATTTGTAACAATGTGTTACTTTTGCTAAGCAGAGATTACAACTAAAGACCCGCCGTGTAGGGCAGCGATGCACGTTAAATCTGTCGAGAGCTGAAACGTCCTCCCGTTGGTGTGGTGTGGTAGTTAGGAGAGGGGTGCCAGCTCAGGTGTCGTCCACGTCACTTGAACATGGTTCAAAATTACGTGGTCCGTCGCCAAAAGCCCTCGTGTAGCTGAACAGTGCGACGTTAATATTCAGTCAGTCAGTCAGTCAGGCTAAGCAGAGATCCCGCGGGAAAAAGAAAACCAAAACAAAAAACTAACACTAATATACGTTATCCCCATGGCAACTACATTATCACACGATAAAAATATCAAAGTAAACCATATAGTAATATTATCGCCTATCTTGGCGAACATAAACAACAACTTGGCCCCTAGCCCTGTTGTATCAAATTAGCATACCAGAGGAAGTTACGCAGTCTGATAATTAGACCGACGATATCATAATCCCTCACTTTGAGAAGCAAAGCAAAAATATTTAACCCCAATTATATTGTTACGAATATTGTGTAAAATAGTGTGAATAATGTGTATTTGGACGTGTAAAGCCTTATATATATATATAATATTTAATTTAAGTTAAATTGTAATATATTCACAAGCAACGCCGTCTCTTACGTTATAGTAGCGATTCAATGAGAACCTGGTGAAACCTTGGCGATAGAGCCAAGTTGGAATCATTTTTGGTGACAAATTTGGTGACTTGGCGATCATGTTGGCGACCATTTTGGTGAGTTTGGGACCCTCTGTGGATTCTTCTGGAAGTTAGTGGAGAAATGCACTAATTTCACGATCTATAACGCAAGTGGATTTTTCTAGAAAGGTCCGTTAGAGCTATAAATAGGGAGACGCTCGCCGAACTGAGTCGGTCTGGTTTTGACTGGCGCTTAGTAAACTTGCCTTGACCATGATTACCGACAATAAATTCTCATCGCTCTTAAAGAACTGTCTTGTTCTTTGCGACTTATTTGCATAAAATCCTCGAACCGGATCTACGTAACAATATATTATTTTAAGCAGAAAAATTAAGGTATATGTGAAATGCAACTGAAATTCATGAAGCCAGATAATATGATAAATTCATATAAATACCCGTATTCCAATCATCTATTTTCATTTCAGTAAATGGCGTGATAAACTGAACTCTCTACCTGATAACAAATTGAATTTAAAGGAAAACGGTTTTTTTTAAACGGAGAAAACGCAAATATGATTAAGGCTGAAAAGACGAGACTTCGAAGCCACCTGAAAATTTTCTATCTTGCCAAAATACGTGCACACCAACATCCACCCCCACACACTCTCTCTCACACACACAAATGCTTACAGTAGCATATCACATGCACACATATCACATTACATCACATCTGAAAGGTTAGTTCTTAATTATGTTGACTGATTTAAAATGGATTTTTCTTCATGGTTCAACGGGAGGACACGAAGCATTTGTGTTATTTTTTTAAGGTATCCGACTAGTTCCCGGGATTTAAAAAGCTTTATATGGATAAAATTTATTATTAAATTTAGAATACAGGGAAAAATTTTTTTAAAATTTTTAAAAAAAATTTTTTAAAAACCCGGGCAAAATTTAACAAAAAATTTTTTTTAAATTTCTTTTTAAAAAATGCCATTATTTTTTTTGCCTGTATATATCAGCCCTCCCCGGAAACTAAATTTTTAAAAAACTAAATTATTTTCAAATTACCACCAATTTAAATAATTTTGGTTTTTTTTTTCTTAAAATTGCTCCGCCTTTTGTGTAAAATATGGAAAACCCACTTGAAAAGTTATATATTTCAAAATTTAGTTGACCTCTGTACAGGGCCCGGGCTATATACAGGAAAAACATTTATTAAATAAACATTTTCAAAAAGGGGAAACATTTTAAAAAAAGGTTATTCAAATTAATTTTTTTGCCAAAAATTTTTTAAATAACTGTAAAAATTTTTAAAAAACATTTTTACGTATTCTTCTAATGACACAAATATCATGAAAATACTTAAATCACGGGTTTGGCGGTATCTACTCACTCAGTCATAAAAATTTTTCGTGCCCCCCACCCGGGATGGTGATTATGACACCGGCGTAATCGGTGGGTTGTTTTGAATCCCGAGTAAGGTATGGCTTATCTTCAGGAAAAGAAATCGGACTTTCGCCTGAAATGGATTCCCGTCTCGAATGGAAAGCGGTGTACTTCTTGTGTTCTTTGCTGGGATAATCGTTTGTAATAAAAAATCTGTATTCTTCTGTGTTGTGTTATATGTTTCTGTTCATCTATCTCACGTCTTTCGTATATATATATATATCCCAGTAATAAAACACACGACAACATATTATTCTATCTGTAGGATATTAGCGGATTCGACCGACAAATTCAGATGTTTGATAGTAGGCAGCACGGGCACGACAAATCAACATAGAGCACTCTCTCGAGGGACCCTAGATGAGTGCGGGGAAGGGAAGAAACACTCGACATGGATCCAACTAATCTATTTATTTCCCCACAGACACAATTTCAACTAATAATAGTAAGAGAATGTATCAATGTTAACCGTGAAAGAGTGGGGCAATGACAGTAAAACGCTAACGATTAGGAGACTATCAAACTCGATCCTTATCTTAATAAAGAATCAAACCTATCATTCGATTTAATCTAATATCAAATCAATCCTAGTGAACAATCGTCACTTTAAAGTTTCCTATTAAGAATCAAATCACTATAATTCTAATATTATACCTTCAGTAGCAATCTCACCTGGCTCGAGTCTATCTTCTCTCCTTCTCTCTTTCAAGCTAGAAAACCTCGCCTATTTATAGTAAGTTAATTTAAATACCACGATTCTCTTCTACCAAAGGGTTGGTTGTGAATAACACGAATTGATAGCTTAAAGATTTTCCAAGAGGATTAGTTGTGGAAAAACGCGTATAGATCCGTCACATATCTATCGATTTCACTTCTTCGAGCAAGCCTACATTTATTAATATATTTGTTTGTGCAAGTACACACTAAGAACAGAAGCAAATTGCATTTTCTAGTTTTCGGTTTAATACTATACATAGAATGACATTACTAGTCGAAAAGACATATTAACGTTGTCTCGGCAGAAGAGATTAATTACATCCTCCCGTAGTGAAAACATTAGCAACTACCATTACACTTGACACGAACTTAACTTAGAAATGCGACAAATGATCAGTTTAGACATCTGAGATTTATTAGTTCTAAGGTTCCTTCAGTCACTACTTCAGTTAAGTTAACTATTAGTCTGCTTACTTCCATGTTGTAACTTTCTTTTGTTGTACCTCTCAAACCGAAAGTTTGTAAATTATTTAGTCAAATAAAAAGAGCTGCATAGTTCTTAATCCGTTTTGTTTTTATGTTTCATTGTGAAATCCGCACGCATATTGAAGCTAGTTAAAATAGAAAGCTGCAGTTCAAACAGGTAATGTAAAAAAAAAAAAATTAAATCAATTCCTACTTAGGTCAACAAAGAAAAATTTCATTTTAGTTACTTTCTATTAACTAATTACAATTAATATAAATATGTACATACATATGACAGAATCACAATATTAAGTGACAAAACAGAAATCGCGATTTTCCATTCTATATAGGGCGTTGGACTATTGTTTTTTTTTACTATTTATTCATTCATATATATCCACATTCTCAGAAATTAGGCCATAGCAGATAGGATTCGAACCCACGAACTTTGGATTAGAAGTCCAAGGCACTATCCATTGTGTTACAGGGACACAGCGAGCAGTTTTCCTCTTTATATATGGTGTTGGATTATTATTTTTGCTTGTTATTATGTATTCACTCATCAAGTTAAACTAATGAATTAATATTGGAAAAAACTGTACTCTAAAGTCAACTGTCATCCACTACAAGTTTAAAAATATGTATTTGAATGGATGAATAGAAAGTATATTATGAACGATTGAAAATTTGAGCATATATATATATATATATATATATATATATATATTATATATATATTATATATATATTATATATATATATATATATATATATATATATATATATATATATATATTATATATATATATATATATATTATATATATATTATATATATATATATATATATATATATATATATAGGGAGATTGTGAACTATTAGTAGGAATTGAAAAAAATCACTTATATATCACCGGTCAATTTTTATTTTCTTCCAAATTCAGAAAAAATTTCTACCAAAATATAAAATCCATTTCATTAAATGTGGAGACGAATTAGAGGCAAATATATCATGCCAAAGAATAAATATTATCAAGACTATTTATTTTATGACATCAAAAGAAAAAAAAAAAGAGTGGAATGAATTAAACATTCAGCCCCGTTCATGAACTGGAACCACTACTTGTGGTTCGTTCCTATTTCAGCCACTTTTGAATTATTGGAAACTGTCTTTCTTCTTAATGATCTGGACGAAGTAATCCTGACGACAGAGTTAAAAAACTTCGTATTTAGAAGGTGGTGCGTTAGAAATCCGTCTTTTGGAATATTGAAAGACATTGCACATCCCCCCCAATTAGGCTGGATATTGGAAATTAAGCTATTGCAGACACGACGAGTCCCCACATGTGAGAGCCATTTCATGGTGGCATAATCTAGTAGCGGTTCTCGTTACCAAAATTTGACGCTTGAATTAATTTTTTAATTCAAGCTTTTGTCGCTTTTGCCAAGAGTATCAGAGCCAAATTGATACTCAAGAGATCTTTTACATGCCGCATAATCATATGACATGGGTGCCTGTGATTTTCGAATCTTGAAAATCTATCGACTCCAGCCGGATCGAACCCGCAACCTTTACGAAGTAGTCACGCTACCTTTAAGCCACCGCCGACCTAGACATTGCACATTGCATCTATTTAGCCTACACCAAGTGCCATTCATATCTCTGACCTGTGTGATTGGAATGACAAGATCTATAATTTACCACCAAAATTATGGATAGTAAAAATCAACACACGAAACAAATTAATTAGATGCATAAATTACCAAACTGCTATTACTGTTCAGAAGTGAATTAAGTAGAATCAATATAACTTTTTTTTAGATTTTCTATAATAACTAATCCAAAAAGATTTTTTGAAGCATAAATTATTGGGCCAAAAAAATTATGTGAGAATCCCTAGATATTGTCCAAATAAGTATTCAATATCTATTACATATTCATGTTTATATTTTAATAGACAAGGGAGAAATACTGTATATATATATATATATATATATATATATATATATAGCAACATTACTTAATTAAGAGTAATGAATACAAATATATAATTAAAAAAAAAAATTATTGATGAAACAAATAACAAAATACATATTTTTATACATAATATTCTACATATTAAGGTATCCGACTACGTTCGGAACCATGATTTAAAAAGGCGTATAAATGAATAATTTTAATGATATTTAGAATCATTTGGATTATATAGAATACATGTATAAAATTGTTTTAAGAATATTATTAGAATAAAAGATTATTTAAATGCAATATTTTGTTTTGTTGAAAAAATGAACTTAGGCTTACCTATTTTCAAAATATTCTCCTTTGATGAAAAATGCTTGTATAATAATATTTTGCTTATATAAAGCAAGGATTTCTCCAGAGGGCCTGAACTAGGATTTTTGAAAAATTCACATGGTTTTCAGAGTTACTACCAATTGAAATAATTATAGCGGTGCTTTTTTAATTAAAATTTCTCCACTCTGTTGTATTAAAATATGGATAAATCCATTTCTAAATTAAGTTGGGGAAAAAGAAATCCTCATTATTTTTCCGGTAGATGGCTTTTTGTGTCGATATCTCATGAAATATTGATCAAACAATTTCAAATTTATACTCACTGTTAAGGTGACATTTCACACTCTAAAAAAATTCTTTTGCTGTTTTTTGTTTGGTCCATTCAGTTGTGAGTTACGGGGTGTTAAAATGGAAGGCAAAACAAAGAAAAAAATTTACATTTTACAGTTTTTTTGATAAAGGCAAAAATGAAAAACCGGGTGGCTGAAATTGTGAACGGTGCTTATTGTCCCCAATACTGTAAAAACTAATTACGTGTTTTTTTGGTTTCGTCGATTTCGTTCAGGCATTTTGTTTTTAAAAGATGAAACCGGCACGGGCGGGCTCGTCGTCGAAAATTTTGGGATAAAATCAAAAGAAATAATAAAAAGTTTACCGGCATGTTAGTAATCGAAGCATCGCCCAGGAGCTAAAGATTGACCATAAAAAAAAGTTTTAAATCTTTTTCCCCCAAGTTGAATTAAAAAGAAGCTGATGTTTGGGTGGCACACCACTTAACCCCAAAAAACATTATAGATCAATTTCCATCTGCGGCCGGCCCCAAAGGGGAAATTAAAATCGACCCATTTTTAAACGGATGGAGACGGGGATAAAGAAATTCACATACGACGATATTGTCCCAAAAACGATGTGGTAAAAAGCACGGTGAAGCAGCTCAAACGGTGAGAAAAACTGGGCCCAACACCCAGGAAGGTTTCTACTGGTTGGGGAAACCCTAGAAAGGTATAATTTATTATGTTATTTTGTATGGCCAAAACTAAAATTTAAAATCTCTCAAAAACTGAACCATTTGAAGCAAAAGGATTGACCAGAAACGGCCAAAAGGGAAACCATAAAAAGATGTGTTTCCATCAGGAAAACCCAGGCCACATACGTTTGTAGTGACTCGCCAGAAACTCTAAAAGGGTTTGGTTGGGAAGTTTTAATGTACCCAAACCATAAAAGCCCGGACCGGGAAACCCGCGAATTACCTTTTTTTTGCTTTTAAAAAAACTTCCTGAGTGTTAAAAATTTGGATAAAAGGGAAAGATTGTGAAAATCGATTACTAGATTTTTTTCGCCAATAAGGTCCAAGACTTCTATAAAGAGGCTTTAAAAGTTGCCTTTAAAATGGCAATAAATTGTAACAAAAACGGTATATTTACCTAAATCGGACAATCCAAAAAAATGTCAAAAAAAGGGCAAATTTTTGCAAAAATAAGGGAATTTCTTTTCCCCCCCAACCTAATATATTTAAAAAAACCCTAGTTCAGACTCTGCACAGGTGTCTGAGTTTAAAATAAACCTAATTTTTGGAAGCATTTTTTCATGAAAATAGAATTTTTGAAAATAGGTAATTCTGTGTTTCTTTTTTGCCTAAATAATGCATTTAAAAAATTTTTACTGTAATAATTTTCCCTTTAAAAAAATTTTTATACATTTTTTTTAACCCTAAAGTGACCCTAAATATCATAAAAATTATCCATTTATACGCTTTTGTAAAACAACAGCTCCGAACGTAGTCCGATACCTTAAGTAATCAGTATATATTTCAGGAAAATGGCATAAGGCGAAGAAGATCAATTATCGAGCTCTATTACTCATATAAACAATCTCTGGCATCGTTAACTTCATCAAATTACAGCGAATTAAATGGGTAGGCCCCGTTGTCATAATGGACGAAGACTGCACCACTAAAAAAGTCTTCAATGCCCAAGCAATTGGTACACAAAAGAAGGGCAGGCCAAACTAAGATGGATTGATGGCCTAGAAAAAGATCTCCTAGTTTTGAAAACTAAGAATTGGAGAACACTAGAAGGAAGAAGGCTGGCATGGAAAAGGCTTCTTGAGATGGCCCGGGCCCAACCTGGGCTGTTGAGCCACTGAGGAAGGAAGGTATCTGTATATATATTTATTTATTTACTATCAACTGTCAGAATAGTTTGTCATTATGTAGGACTTTCCCTAAAATGTATGTATGATTCTAAAGAAAATTCTCTTTAGAATCATACAAATTAAATTATTCATAATCTTTATTAAATTACAACACGATGGACTATAATTTAAAAACGTATAACATTTTTAAAATTAATCCCCTTTTTTTAATTAAATCGCTTATCATTTTTTTGCAAAATAAATAAATAAAAAATTAGCAGAAATACCAAGAGAAACCCTTCCATTATTTCAAAAGACAAAACAAAAAAACTAATATCACTTGTTGATTTTTATAATTATCTATATATGCTATACAGCTAGTTTATAGATGAATTTAGAAATCAGGATAGAGAAAAAGTATTTGCGAGTTTTTCAAGAAAAAACGATTCCTTTCAAAAGATCAAATTTAAAGAAAATAAAATTCGTAACCTTCAAGAAAACCTAATTAGAAATGCAATACTTTTTGAAAATGAGAAATATACTTCTTGGAAACAATAGGAAGATTCTAGAAGACTGAATTCCGAAGCTATAACAAGAGCTAGACTTGAAAGATTATTAAAACAACATACTATGAAATTTATTATACGTCGTGTGTATTTTATTTTGTTTGAAGCCAAGGAAACTTTTGAGTAGGAGGTTAAATCTTATTTAAAATGAATACATTTAATAAAAAACAAAATAATACTTGAAACCGATATTCAAATTGGATTGCAGTAACACCTGAACTTTCAAGCGAATTGTTGTATGCTTTAATATATAAAACTATTTAAAATTTAAATACGAAAAAAATGTTATGTATTATATGAACTAAATTGAAATTGAGTTGGATACTTTTGAAACTATATGTATGTGTTAGTGTTAAAGTGTGAAATCCGTTATTTCATAGAATAACTAGGTATTTCATGAAATAACTAGACGTCAGTTAAAGTATATAAAGTTATTGCATTGTATGATTTAACTCGCTATATTCTATAAAATAACGATTACTTGATCGTT